TTCTTTCTTTCTTTCTTTCTTTCTTTCTTTCCTTCTTTCTCTCTTTCCTTCTTTCTTTACATGTGTATTATTTTATCGAGTGTACTTTTCAACGGAAAAAGATACAAATTATCTTGATTGTAATGTTTATTCATCCCAAGAGAACTTTTACTCTAAATACCSCATGGTGTCGCAGTTGGGTTCTTTGAGCAGACGTTCTGACAATCTCAGTCGTCTCCGGCCGACATAAAATTAAACCACAGCTAGCTACCGATAAATCTGAGCCCCTTTGAACGAAATACAATCGCTTGATATCAAACTTAACTAATTCATAGCCATTCTGTAATAAAATAGTTATACTACTATCTATAGATGAATCGATAGTTCAATTGGAACCTGTAGTCAAGGTGTTTATGTGGAAATCGTTCTTTTGCATATCAATGAGGTTTAAAACAGCTAGCTTTTTTGTACATTTCTAAAGCTTTGTTTTTTATAATATTGATTTTTCTGTGAAAGAAAAAGCCTGGGGGCTCGAAGCGCCGGAGAAAAATCGCTGATATATAAGTTTTTATATTAAAACGAGTCTATCCTGACCAGCTAAATTGCAATGCCCCCAAGTGCATAGTTTAGTAATATTATGATTCCTTTAAGAAAAATAAGACATTTTTGTTCGAGCTAAACGGTGCTTAATCAGAATTCTCGACTTCTTATTTTGTCAACATTCAACATTCAACATCAAACCCCACACCGAAACAGTGTCTGTGCTTATTAAAGGCGAAAAAAATCCAAAATTCTTGTTTTGAATTGGAAATTTTCTCTGTTTAATGACTTTGTTTTCCACAGAAAACATCCGTTTATAAAATGACAAATTGGCCGCGGTAAGTCGCAGGTGAAAATATTGAAATCATCAATCTGCGAAGCTATCTGACTACATTAAGTTAATGAAGGATCGAGCGGGCAAATATTGAAATCATCAATCTTAAACGTTTCGATCAATTATAGGAGAACGATTTGAAATTTCATTCCATAGGAATAAATTTTTATTTTTTGCGGCGAGATTAGTTTTTTGCCTGTTAGTTGGGAAACTATAGGATACGCATCTATTAAAGAGATTTTGAGTATATATTTATGTAAGAGGGTTGATTTTTTTACTTCTTTTATGAACAAAAGGCAATCATCTTCGAAGTTAATTTTTTTAAATTTACGGGTGATATTAGAAATCTTAGACATTTTCGCTCGTAAAAGTCAAAAGTAGTGATTTTCAATATTTGTATTATTACGTTCATCAGCCATGTCTATGTTACTTTGATCATAGTTTATTCCAATGAAGCAGGTGTTTTTTCAATTATATGGGCTCAATATCGCAGTTGTCAATTGATATCCCAGTGATAGATAATAAAAAAAARAGAGATACGAGAGAGTTAGTAAAAGAATAAATGAGCAGACATTGCTGTCAAAATTAATGAAAAACTCAACTTGTGAAATAATAGTCTAATGAAGATCTTCAAGAAATATAAGAAAAGCGTCAATCATGACGACATTCCGGTGTCCTTCTTGGCTTTGTTTTTATTTAATGGAAAAATTTCCGACATCACACTTAAGTTAACAAAAAATCACTCTTATTCGATTTGTTTGGGRAAAAGTTGCGCACGCATGTCTATAAAATATCCAATAACCAAATTGGATGAGCAAGCTTTGTGTGCTCGCCGACCCTCAACATCGATCCCGCTTAACAAGACTTCTTGATTTGAAAACAAGGCAATGAGATCGAGATTTATATTTCGCCCCCGCCTGAATCACACCCTAGTATGACCTGAAGTAAGTGTATGGAATGGTAAATTTTATTACTGTATGTTCTAATTGTGCCCACACACTGTATCATCGGGGGCAGCAAAATAACAACACTTCATTTTAACTCTCTAATATATATGTCTAATTCGTAGAAACATGCCATAAAACTTACTTTGATTTAACCGAAAATTTCTTTGGATTTTCTCCTGGAACTTGTAGTTGGGGAGGATAATTTTCTCAAAGTAAATTCAATTCGGAAAAACTGTAGACTTCTGACAACAAAAAAAAAGAAAAAGAAAAAAAAAAAATCAGGAGAATATTTGATAACCAAATGCTAATTCTTTTTCATGCAGTTGATACGAAAAATCGCATGGGAGTGTTCGTTTATGCAAAAAACCTTCAGCCAAGTAGCTCAAATACTTTATCGAGAAATATTTTAGAAGGCCAATGTTTAAAAGATAAGCTTGGTACTTTGCTAAATCTTTGAATTTGAGTGAAGTTCGCCTTTCTGCTTAGAATTTAAAAATGAAATATCGTAGAGGTTTGTACAGGATTATCCTCATTACTATTTCACAGGATGCGCAAGTAATATCAGTTGTGTACAAATACGCTTCAGTTACCATATGTTGTAAAAGTTGTCATTATTTTTGAGATCAATTTTTGCCTTTTTATGAGTTGCGCAATTACGATCAATCGTATTCGTGCTGCCGAAAGACAATAAATTGCGCGCGTTAAATATTTTTGTGCTTAAGCTTTCGCAATTTATCGAACTTTATTTCATTGTAGTAATATTATCATCACTTTTGGTAGAAATTCATAATTTCATGCAATTTCGCGCAAAGCTTTGGCAGTTGCGCATCTTTATTTAACATTAAATGCGCTACTCATTCCATATATCCGCGCATGTATGTACAGAGCATATGTGGGTATTCTGCGTGCTTGTTGCACAATATCTATACTATACCCGCCTTTTATTCCTTTTCCTTTTATGTATCCATGCGCARAGGAATGAAAAAATTTTTTCTGTATACAAGTTGCGCAATATCGTCACATCCATCTCTTTATTCCTTTCCTATCTACTACACGCGCTTAAAAAAGCAGCGTCAAAATGGAAAACTTCTCATGAGTATTTTTCCAGCGGGTGAAATCAACATCGGATCGAACTCTCTTGCGCAATATGAAACAAAAATGCGACGACTACGGCCAATACGCAATATCTTTTCTCCCAACTAGCCTGCAATAAAAACCCTCATTGGCGGCTCAAAAGTGCAATAACTTATATTAAAGAATGGTAAGACATTTCTTTTTCATGCATGCGAYCTTCGCAATAAAACAAAACGTCAGCGCCTTATTGATGTCCTGCCTTAATCTTCCCTGACGTCTTCAATATATCCTTATTATCTATAAAGTACTTCTATCTTAGTGGGGGGAAAAGGATTGATTTATATTAGTCAGAGGCAAACTGCCTGGAACACACACACGAAGAATTGGAAATGCCGTACTTACATCTTGGACGCTCGAGCTTACGGTAGCGCTTTTAACATCATGAGGTTGAACTAGTTTAGTTATTCACTACCTTTTTTTCCTTCTTTCGTTTGAAGAAAAACTGTGTTTTTCAAAATCGAAATTCTTAAATAGTTCATAAAGAGATTCATAAATATATATATATWTWTTTTAATTTGTGCCTTTATATACAACAACACAGCCGAAACAATCTTACTCGTACGTTTTCTTTTGTATTTTTTGCAGTTTTAGTTTGCTGTGTTTCAAGAAAATCTGTGTTTTCGATTCCCAAATCAAAATCACCACATTTTGAAAACTGCCAAGACAATGTGTATTTAGATAAGTACAAATCTGCTAATTTAGTGGGAAGTAGTCGATTTTTAGTTGCACTAAAAGGATAATTGGCATCAAATTATTWGAACAGGGGGATTTTTTTTTTATTAATTTGCTTTGGTTTTTAGTTCAACTATTATATCGAAGATTTCATTCATTATAAGACTCTTTGAAGATTACTTTTCACGTCGAGTCTTGAGTGCTYATGTGCATCTATAAATTTCAATGCCATTCGATTAGTCTTGATTTCGTCGTTGCTTTGATTGTTTCTTTTTGGGAATTTGATAATATAAAGTAGTTCAAATTATTGGAATGAAATTAATAGTGCAGACGATTGTGGTTGGAGATACGATGGAAGACCTTCCTTAGATTTTAATTTAGACTTGCCGCTTAGATTATTATCAGAAAGTAACTACCCTTTAATTCTTTCTTACTTTCTTTCTTTCTTTCCTCGCACGAATTTCACTCATGGCTCTAAACCAAATTGCTTAACGTAATTTACCATTTCAATCTGAACGCGCAAATCTGTACAAAACTTAAATTAGGCCAAACGCTCAAAGTGAGAGCAAGCAAGACGATATCATCTGGACTATTGGCTCTCAATTGGCGTTTTAGTTCCATTAAAACGAGCTAGCCCATTGAAGAAAATTCTTACAGATTGATTACCAGCTTGTCAGATTTGCATCTTGATATGACGTTGATTGGACGATGTAAGGGATAGATTCATGTGATTGCAAACAGATATTCACCGAGTCATTTACTTGGATTACTTGCAAGCCAAGTACATTAAACCTCATATTCACAAACTATCTTTAAAAAAAAATTATAATGTAAGTTTAAGAGAGTATTAGCTATTTTCTTCTGACTTTCTTGCTAAATTACATTAGTTCCGTGTCTTTTTAGTTGGTTGTTGGACGCGCTTTGCATGCTCTTTCCTCCTGATTTCTTTCTCCTAAATTTCTCATTATTCTCTGCTTCGATTTTCGTTCTCTTAATTCCAGTTTAAATCCTGCTAATCATTTTCCGCGCAGCCTTTCTCGCTGTATCAGCTAATTATCAATTTAGCACATGCTTTTTTGATCTCAAACGTTTCGAGAGTGTCAACTAGGCTAGGTTTTAATTCTATCACTACCTACCATCGATTATATACAAGAAAAGGCTCGAAAACGGTGCCAAACAGACTAACAGATTCTAGTCAAAAGGATTAGTTTAAGTATATCTTAACACTCAAACAATGAAAAACCTGAATATGATCATTATGGTAATCAGGAAGAAAAGTGATGTACTAAACCGTTAATAGCTTCTAGAAATGTCATCAAGCAAGTATTTATATTGAACTGACCAGCTAATTTCACAATTTAAGAAAAATAGCGCTTTCTTAACTATCTTTTTCTTCAGTTCTGCTAAAATCTTTGCTCGGCGAGAGTGGAAGATGTGAATCCAGACGGAAATAAATTATATATTTCAGTGGTATGAAAAATTGGATGTAATTTCGTGTAATATTAAGCACAGTCATCATAAATTATGTTCTTAAAAGCTATTTCATTAGTTGTGAGTATCATTCAAGTTCGAGTCGGTATTCAACAAAATTGTACAAAATTATGTAAGAGAGTACTTAAATAGTCGGGATTAAGTACGACCAAATGAATACCTAATTGGTACGGAGTCACGAAAGAAGAAGGACTCAATATCGTTTTTTTCTTGTCGGTCGGTACCATGCGTTTTCCTTGATCTCCTGCATCCGCCACATCCTCGGGAACAACSTCGTCCCCAGGGCCCTTTCTCTTCAACTTGAGAGGGCCCTGGGGACGAGGTTGCTTCGGAATCCCAGGGACCAGTAAAGTTGGGTTCCCGAGAATGCATCCGCCATTGATTTGCCGAGAAATGCTTTGAATTCTTCAACGAGTTGCTGAGTCACGAACGAGTGAATCAGCAACTGGTTAGTGTCTGGTAGTAGAGTCCCGGGGGGGGGGGGGKGTATTCCCCTATATTCGCTATACGGGTACGTGCCGCCAAACAGGGTATGGTTTTCAGTGATTTTACTCTGGAACAGGGTATATATAATCGCGCTCGCTCTGGGACAGGGTATATGAAATCTCCTCTCTAGAACAGGGTATCTATTTTCACAATACAGGAACTGCGTATGGTTTTCAGCGATCTTGCTCTGGAACAGGGTATGAATTYCAGCGATTTTACTCTGGAACAGGGTCAGGGTTCAGTGGGCTCAGAGGCACATACCTACCTTAAACGGGCAAGAGTACCCCCCCCCCCCCCGGAGTAGAGTGTGCTGTCTGTCGAACCTGGGCAATATTTAGTTGTGGTCAAGGATCAATATGATATTCTGCTAATGTAATGAATGTAATCACTCTGACTCCATGTCTTGACCTTGTCTTGTCTTGAAGGTGACCACTATATGGACGTGATTTCTGTTTGGACCCCATTGAGCATTCTTTAGTCATTACTCATTAGTATTCTTCTAATATTATCAATATGAATTTCTAATTTTATCCATTAATTTCTTCTAATAAAACCAACACACAATCGAATATGCACGTAAAATCTTCAAAAAATCAATAGCAGAGCTATCAGACATTGAGATACACAGTCAGAACGTTTAGTTGAAACGTTTAGTTGAAACGTTTAGTTTAGTTATTGCAAACGAAACGTGCCACACTTGAAACCTATTTTTGAATTCCCACACAACACTAAAAACGTTTTTCCCAGTCAATGGCGACTGACTGGCTACACGCCTACTTAGTGACATGTACGGCTATTCCAACTACGCAATTTGCTCAACTCACACGTGYACCATGTTGTGTGTACGTGCTAAATAACCTATTTTATTTAGAAAAGTCGCAAGCCCAAGCTTTAATACAAAAATCTCAATCAATGATAGATGCACTTATGAGTACTGTGCCGCTGTACCGTGAGGTCCACTTTTATACCTTGATACTCTTTATCAACTGGAACAACTACACGAAAGGAAATAAAATATTTACATGGCTAGAATCAACAGAAGTTTATCTGTAAAAATAAGGAAACAATAGCTACAGAATACTTTAATTGTACTTAATACTAATACTTATACCGCACGAAGTGCGGGCACATGCCCAGGACCCCCAGGACCAACACGCGTTTAGAAAATATTTTTGTAAATCTATGAGATACTAAGAGATACTACAAGGAAACAATAAAGAGAGAAAGGTCAGACTTAAAAGTCTTATTCTAGCCCACTAAAGAAGTGTACATATCAGAGAAACCGCAGTGAGCACTTGAAATCTTGAAATTTTGAAATCTTTAAACAGAAAGACTGAAGTAATAATGATCTGCAATGTGTAAAATCTATATCTAAGGTTATCGACGCATAGCGAGATAGCAATATGGTCGTGTTCTTTCTTGACCTACTAGTCCATCTCAGAATACATCAGTCTAGTTACAAACAAAAATATTAGTGTAATAAAGTGTATATGAAAAGCCAACTGCAATCAGACAGAAAGAGAGAGCTGAGTGTTTGATTTTCTGATTATCTAGATTGATAAATAAGGAAGTGTTGACTTAATAAATGCAGTGGCGTAACCAGGGATCTTGCAGGGGAGGTGCACAGGCAATGATTTGCAGAACCAAAAAAAAGGGAATAATGGGTGAGTGATTCTTAAAAATGCTACAATATGCAGATGGAAAGTGGTCTTCATTTAATCAAAAAACATTTACATGCAATTTTAAAGCAAAAGGAGATAGATGAGCGGATTATAAGCTTTTATGGGGGGGTGCACGTGCACCCTGTGCCCCCCCTGGTTACGGCCCTGAAATGGCAAACAAACGGTTATCAAGAAGTTTTATCTTGATAGCAAATCGAATCTATTTTGGTTAGCATCGCCAGATCACGTACAATTACAAATCTTGCGTTCAATTTGTAATGCTTAGTTCATCTCCAGACACATTATCTTGATACAATTAAAAAGTTTGGAAATTTCGTAGCTTTATCATTTTTTAAATAATGARCTGCCAGTTTAAATCGTTAGAGGATTGGTTGAAAACCAATGTAGCTTGATTTTTGATCTACCATACGATGGTCATATGGCTTTTGGATCAGGACTCATGAAAAATTGCCAGACCAACAATCGATCTTGCGATTTTTTCGTGCGATTTTTAATTGCAACGCGCGTCTCTAATAAGCATGAGGACACTAATGAGTATATAGTGTAATCTCGGTGACTTTTGTACTTTTATCGGAATTATTGACATGTATTTGCGTCGGATCATCCTTTTTAGCCCTTATTACCTCCCACTCACATGAATATGGAGTCAAGTGGACTTGCTTAGCGTGGTTTTCCTCCTCCCCCCCTCCTCCTGTTAAAAAATATCCAGATAGATGTAGACTTATTCATTAGGAGTTCAGATTGTGAAAAGTGTAGCGCAAAGTAAACAAGGAATGACACTTACACTTAGTTTACTAACTTTTTTGTAGAAAAATTACCTTGGTGTTGTAATAGCCGATTTTCGCTATTAAAAAAAACTAAAAGTTGTTTAACTAGAAATAATGACTATTCTATTAAATGGCATAGTTTTTTATCGATGTTGAGGACAAAATATATATGTAAGCYGTACAAAAACGATATTTCATTTTCCTTTTGAATCAAGAAAAGAATAGCAAAAATATTTCCATGAATGACAAACCTGCCACCAAAGGGCATCTTTTGAGTGTTTGTCATATATAGTTTGACTATCTGTCAGCAACGATCCAGATTTAGTCTAAACTGGAAGATTTTGGAGCTCAACCTGATGTTATTTCAGTACATTAAAAATTATTTTCTTTGACCAGGTTTAATTTTGTTTTACTTAACAGGTATTTGAAGTTTTGGCGCGTCGCTCTGTGGGGAGTGAGAACTGCACTTGCCCTTACGGAAGATCCGGTTATTATCAATCGGCTCTTCGTCAAACTCCTTGTCAACGGGATATCATTTGCAATACTTTGGTTTCAAGAATAAATTGTAAAGATTGCGCTTCAAAAGGAAAAGCGGAACTGTCGAGGGAAGACAGAACAGCAAGAGGAGACGGAGAAGGAGAAGGTAGCTAACAATAATGTACCTTCAGGAAACGATGAACCGAGAATCGTCGTAAATGGTTTCGACCATTGTTTACCTTCTTATCTAAACAATCCAACGCGTAATGCTGGATCTGTTGATTTAAGGGATCGAGAGAAAGATAAGTGTCAAACTGTGGTTCATAGCGTGAAGGCAGGAGGCATCGTGATGGAGCTGCACAACTCGACCAGCACACAAAGCCTTGGAGTTAACTCAAATGCAGGGGAATCAGTCATATTTGGACGCAAAGGATCGACTCTAAAAAGGCTTGTCGTGTGTCTTGTTATTGTCTGTATTCTCTTAATAGCTGCGTGTGTTTTCCTCTCCGTCCTCTATGTGAAACAACTGCAACCCAACACTAGCAATCCGACAGAACCACCTACAAGCGGAGCTATTTGCCTCTCTACAGAATGCTTAAAGATCGCAGCCGAGTTTACCAACAACATCAACAAATCTGTCGATCCATGCCAAGACTTTTACCACTATGCCTGCGATGGATGGATGCGAGATAACCCAATCCCACCGTCTCAGAACGAACATGCAACCTTCTACATACTTGCCAAAGAAACCTCAGAAAAGCTTAGGACCCTCGTGGAAGAAGCAACTGATCTTGCCGCTGGAGATCCGCTCCGAAAGGCTCGCGATTACTATAYTTCGTGCATGGACGAACGAGTGGCCGAACAAACTTCTGATTTCCAGATAAAAAACTTGATTCGAAAGATTGGCTCGTGGTCTCTGGGTGCGAATACGACAGGATGGAACGCCTCATCGTGGGACTGGAAGGATGCTATGTTCAAGATCCATAAAGAACTTAATGTAGATGGCGTTTCACCGTTATTCAACATGGGAGTGCTCGAAAACCCAAAACATTCCATGAGTTATCTTATCAAGGTAAATACCCATCGCATATARTTTTTGCGTAGACTTAATGCGGGTTTTGATCAAAACTGCACCGATGCTGTGTTCTACAAAATAATAACATACTCCACTATAATTATTCAGTTATTATCCTCATAATCTTTTAATTAAACAAGCTAGATTTAACCTCATGACTTTCCCGTGGGCGTTTGTTGCAATATTAGTAGAAATGGCGCATGTTCTATTTTGGTTCAGTATTTAGTTACGACACAGCTAATAGCCTAAAGCAAAATTCATCGTATATCGTAGTTTTGCGCCTCATTGAAAAGAAAGATGGTTTTCTATCAAATGTATTAATTCGATCGAATATTTAGAAAACATCAATTGATAGTGGTTCGCGACGTTAATGTATATATATGCAGTTTTTTTGCGCGCCTCCTTTTCAAGCTATCTTGTCTCAAACCTTTGTAGGGCAGGAACTATTAATTTTGTTTAGCTGAAGCTGTAGCCAGAGATAGTGAGGGGTATCGGCTGCATTAGGGTCATTTTCTTATACCATAACCATGGCCGCGACAGGGTCAGGGTCGAACAGAGAACTGATGCTATCAAACGAAACGAATTTTGTTCACAATTGAAGGAAGAGAATGAGGAACATACGAGGAATGAAGCTTTTGTTTCGGTTACCACTGAGGTAGAAAAAGAATTGCTATTTCGCAAAACCGTGAATACTGTGTTCAGCTYTTGTTTCGGTTACCACTGAGGTAGAAAAAGAATTGCTATTTCGCAAAACCGTGAATACTGTGTTCAGCAAATAAAGCTGAAATTGAAAACCAAGATTTAGTGTTGAAACGGTTTGTTTATGTCAGTCCATATTTATTCACTTTAACTCATCTTTCAAAATTTCTGTCGAATATATCCATTTATTTTGAAGAAGTCCACTACAAAGACAAGTTCAATTTTTTTTWAAATTTGTTGACTTGAAATGTTGAAAGAAACCGGATATTTTCTTTCATCTTAAAAAACTTTCTTTTCACTTCGCTTGGCTCTGTTCCTTTCTTTTCGTTTATTCACATAATTTTCTTATTATAATGTTTATTTTTAAAAACGTTTTTTTGTTTGTCTTTGTATTACAGTCGAAACACGTTGTTTATATTAGTTAGGATAAATTGTTGTTAATCTATTTTAAAAGGAGACAAAAATAAAATAAATAAAATATAGACTTTACAATAGCATAAGCGTTATACAATTCCACTCTCAGTCATTAACGTCCGTTGGTACGTTAATGGTTGCCAATGAACATTGGTCTCTTTTTTCATTCGAAGGTTTCTTCCCGTTTTCCGGTTTTTAATTCCTCTCTCCACAAAACCGAACACTCTAAGTTCCAATTAAAAGACATGTGCAAAGTTAGCCGTGCCCTGACTTAGATCAGCCCTGAGATTTTTTTTTCGGAACTAAATTTCTAATTTAGTCGTCCTTTTAAAAAGTTTCTAATCGTAGACGATATCCTTAAACTAACGCTAGAATTTCCTTGTTAATTAAAATCGCTTTCATTTACTCCTTAAATAACTGTTATTTTATATTGAACTACCGCAATCTGATTGGCTGGCTGGGTCAAATTCCATGACTTTAGTACAGTATCGAAATTCTTTGTGATAATAAGTGTCTAATGTTCTTATGTATTATTAGATCGACCCGCCGAACCTGCCTTTGATCAAAGACCAGTACACTATGAATAACTCCAAGGTAAACTGTTCTAGAGAGTCATTATTAGGAAAGGTACTGTTTTTATGGGGGGGGGGAGGGGGTGGGATGGGATATTTGCAGTAAACTTGATAAAAATGATCGTAAAGCTCTCCCTTTTGCTTAGTACGAAATTTATGACCCTCCTATAAAATCAACAAGGAAGCTTTCGTCAAAAAAATGGTTTGACCCTTCTAAGAAATGTTCTGATTTYCCTCCCCTCCGAAGCCCGAACCCTCCCCCCTCAGTAAAATCGTACCTTCCCTTAAACATTACATAATCAAAACCACAGTTTATCCTATAAGTGTAAAGCCACGAGAAAAGAAAMTAAATCTTTGAACATTACACACCAATAAGTCCTGATTTCCAAGAGTATTACACTACACTTATCACGAGCATCTTGTCCTTATAGTGACACGATTCTTATAAATTATACTATTACGCTATAGTTGTGAGAGTATTGTTAACTATGATTGTACAATAGGTTTACGGGCAGTAGAAAAACGTTTGCGCATGCGTGCATTTCAGCAGGTTTCCTAAGAATTTTGAAGAGTTTGAGTGAGAAAATAAATGTTTGGTTTCTCCATAGACCTCTTACATTGAATTGCCTTGAATTGTTCAGGGGTACAAAACAATAGGGCGTCTTTTATTATGCAAAAAAAAAAAAAAGAAAATCCATTGTTTTGTTCCCCAGAACAGTTCCACCTGGGACTGGTGCAAGGAGTCTATAAAACAAATTTAGAGAGTATACTTTTGTCAGACCAAGATACTGTATTAGCAAAAATAATATGAAAAAAATAGCCCTACGTTTCAAGCATGAACACTAAGTTTTGGCATTTGTGAAGTCCAATTTATCAGGCATGTTTAAGTCAAATTTACATATGTTATGTCTAATTTGCATACCGATTCAGAGCATGCGCAGACGTTTTTCACTCGTATCCGGGCAGCATATATATACGACACTATTACGGGAATTCATCGACGCTTGCACGGACATTACGCAACACTTATACAATGCACGACATTTGTAATCGGTATAAACCGTCGAATGTTTTATCGATATAGCTATTACTACTAATACGGTATRGTGCACTCGCATTTCACTTCTGGGGTCTCGAAGTCGGTTCCTGGACTTGGCAGGAGCTAAATACCCATTTGATATGCAAGTTTGTCGTCCTCCTAACTCTGATCAGCGCAGAGGTTATTTCAGGTCTCGATTTTTTGAGTTATTCGTGCCCTGACTTACATCAACCCAGAGGTTGTTTCAGGGTTCGATCTGTGAGTTAGTTGTGTTCTGACTTTGATCAGCCCAGTGGTTGTTTCAGGCTGCGATAAAATTGAAGGTTTATTATTGTCAAACAGGTAAAAGATGCGTACTTGAACTTCATGGTCGAAACAGCGGTGATTCTTGGATGCAACAATGAAACTGCTCTTAAACAAATGAGGGAGGTGATCAAATTTGAAACAAATCTTGCCGAGGTAAAATAAATGTAGAAAACAAAACCTAATTATCACCACAAAACATATCTATCGTTAATAATTCACAACATTGTAGAACCTTTTACTTTGCGGGACGTACTGTCATTCCCTTGAGTATCATTTCTTTGTTTAACCGCTTTGCGCATGAAAAGACACATGATTATCGACACAACTGAAACAAATAATCTTACTCTCAAGAGAATGACACGAGGTCTGAAAAGGGAAAAAAAATCCCAAAAGCATCATGAGAATACACATGAATATGGATATAACTCAATAAACGTACTCTCAAGAGAATGACAAGTGGTCTGAAAAGGGAAAACATTCCCCTATAGTATCATGAGAAGACACATGACTATGGATGACACGTGGTCTGAAATGGGGAAACATAATACCGAGAATGGCTAGAAAGGTCTATTCAGTAATAAAGATGGACGTACGGCATCCATCAATGCAGACATTATACAAATGAAAATGTCACAAGACAATTTAACTGCACTTTTGTTTTCCTTTTATTCTATCAAAATCGCGGCTTTTCATGATAATGTCAGTCATATCTTTCCAAAGTCTAGGAGAGACATTATCTATCTTAAACATGTATGTTCTAACGCTTTCAGTGGCGGATCCAGGATTTTTCAAAGGGGGGTTCCGTTTCTTAAACTGTGTATAATTCTCTTTTGTTTAGTCGATGTTTGACAAAAAAATTAACTCTAATCACCTAATTTACTATCTAGTAACGGAACTTAAAGGTAAATTAAACATTATAACAGCAAATATTTATCATTTCGTGTTCAACATTATCCTTGTGGATACTTTTAAGCAAAAAATTTATATAAGACATATTTCTATTACCTAAAAGATCAAACCTTCAAGGGGGGTTCCGTGGAACCCTTCGAACCCCCCCTGGATACGCCACTGGCTTTAATTCATCTAACAAACCTTCTATTCTTTTTCCTCAGATTACCCCCGAAAGAAGCATCATACAGAAACGATTATACGATACGTACGAGTTAAAGGAAATCGAGAAGAACGCACATAACGTATGGCGTAATTTGTTTTTGACTCCTTCAGTTCTTGCGGAATTAGCTGATTATTTCTTTCTGTCATCACTTTTTTTCTTCTAGTTTTCATGGGTCAACTACCTTAACAAGGTGTTCAACCGCTATGGTGTAGAGATCAACGATACGGAGTCCATCATCGTCCCAGCGCCCACGTTCTTGGCCAACATGACGATATTAGTGGGRAAAAAATCAAAAAGGTGAGCTTCTTTTTTTTGGACTGAAATCGTATATGTACTAGGTTAACACCGCACTTCGAGTCCACTTTTTGCTACTAAAACAGGTATTTAAAAACGCCATGGTGTCCTTCAATGATCTTTTCTTGGACCCCTTACATGGCAGAATTACTCTCGTTTGAAGAACCTAAGAAACTACTGCATTTTTTTATTCCAGCCGTAGGAACTCCTCTTTTTATGTGAAAAAAGGTTCACGAACTTTGTGAATGCAGTGGTGTTCTTCAATGATCTTCTTTTGGACCACTTACGTGAATAAGTTACGGTAGACGAATCAAAGAAATAAATGTACAACGACTACAATTCTCTGTCCCAGTCCGAGGGTATTTTTACTGGAAAAGGGAAAAGTGCTCTTGAGTGAGAATGCATGGTGTTCCTCAATGATTGATTTTTTTGTCCTCTTTACTTAATATTTACCAACGATGGGAACAGCAATCATTATAATGTTGTTGTTGTTGTTGTTTTTGTTTGTTTGTTTGTTTGTTTGTTGTTGTTTTTCTTTGATTTTTTGATACCAAGTTTAATTTTTTATCAATTTTTAACTTTTTCCCCCTTCTTTTTCGCAGAGTGCTATCCAACTACTTCGTGTGGAACGTTGTTCGCAACATGGTTCCATTTCTTTCCAAGCCATTCCGAGAAGCAGAATTGAGATTCAAGAAGGTATTAAACAACTTTTTGACCTCCAAACCCCGATGGCAAGAATGTATCACGGCCGCAGATTCCTCGAAGGGGYTGACATTTGCATTGGGCTACATGTATATCGACAAGTTCTTCGATAAAAGCTTTATTCCAAAGGTAAATAATAAAGGGAGACTGCCTTCAAATAGGATTTATCCCTCTAGTTATAAAATGCCTTCAAATGGATTATCCCATTTCGTTACTTTCGTTTCATGAAACAGATAAGAGATATGATGGATGGATTTATCCCTCTAGTTATAAAATGCTTTCAAATAGATTATCCCATTTCGTTACTTTCGTTTCATGAAACAGATAAGAGATATGATGGATGGATTTATCCCTCTAGTTATAAAATGCTTTCAAATGGATTTTCCYATTTCGTTACTTTCGTTTCATGAAACAGATAAGAGAAATGATGGATGATATGCGGAGAGCATTCCGTGAAGAAGTKACGGGGCTAAGCTGGATCGACAATACTACAAGAAAAAGTGTCTTCAATAAGGTAGTGCATAAAGAACTCAACAAACCACGCTTATACATTTTATGAAGAAAATACTTATCCGTCTCTAATCTTTCTTTTGTAGGAGAAAGCAATGTTGGAAAAGATAGGCTATCCARAATTATGTGCTAATTATACGCTCCTGGACTTGTACTATAAAGATGTAAGTCACCTGAGAGAGTTTGATTTTGGTCGATTGTGCCTTGGCTCGGTAGGACGTTGTTCAAATTCATTGTTTCGACTCCCCTTAGTTACCTTATCAAAGTCAGGGCACAGCTAAGTCACAGGTTTAACCCTGAAACAACCTCTTGGCTGATCTAAGTCAGGGCACAGCTAAGTCACAGGTTTAACCCTGAAACAACCTCTTGGCTGATCTAAGTCAGTGCACAGCTAAGTCACAGGTTTAACCCTGAAACAACCTCTTGGCTGATTAAAGTCAGGGCACGGCTGACTCACAGATCCAATGGAATTTAGTGTGTTTGGTTTTTCAGAGGAAGGAAAAGCAGTGAAACTGTTCAGGGAGAGACCTAATAAAAAAAACTCTGCTCAGAGGTCAGAGGCGAGTTCACTACAACTACACAACCCTTGATTCCCTAAAAAACGTCATTACGTATGAGGATATGTGAATTAGAATACTAATTATACAGCTTCTCATTAATCCCATATAGGTAACTGTYCAATTATTTTCTTAATTGGACAGGTCTTGTTGATAYGGGATCAGTTAGGCAGCTATATAATTAATAGGTAATGGGATTTCATGCTCCCCAATCAAGAAATAATTAGACTCGAAAAATTCCTCTGACTGGGATCCTYGGGATTTTCCTCGTCCAATTATTTCTTAATTGGACAGCATGGAGTCCTATTACATATACTTATTTCTCACTATGCCATTAATTCAGCTAAAGGTGGATGATACGCATTACCTTCTGAACGAAGTGAATGCCTCTCGATGGTACACAGACAAGATCTTGTCTAGGCTCAGAAAACCTGTCAACAAAGAYACGTGAGTACTAGTTCAATCCAATTGTATAATGGTCTTTCGCTAGATAATGAAGAAATATTGACAATGTGACACTGAAAGTTAGTCTATAATTGATAGTCTCCTTCTCGACCCTAGAATCCTGTCTTTCTTACTACTATGCCTTGTTGAATTGTCATATAGCTGTTTTACTTGTGACGTATTTCCGGTTCCAACTGATCACAAAAACCGCTAAAATAAAGCGAAAAATGTTCTCAATGASTAATCTCCACATGAAACAATTAGAGCTTTGGACAAAAAAATCCGTATCATGAAGAAAAAGAGGAATTTTCATAGAAGTGCTTTTGGTTTTTCGACCCTGAAGGCTTTTTCCCATGCGACACTTATTACAGCCATTCTTAATCACACGCGCCCTCTAGCGATTGTTTCTATCGCAACGAAGAAGGTTTTGGTGTACGTCAATCACAAGGCGTTTCCATAACATTGTCAGTAAACACAAAGCCATAAGGGCACATGCCTCAGAATGTCATGGAAACGCYTTGATTGACGTCCACCAAAAGCTTCTTCGTGACAGAAACAATCGCTAGAAGGAGCGTGTGATCGAGAATGGCTGTAAGTCACACTTAAAAGCTATATCGTATTTCATTTTTCATGCTTTTCTTTTTTTCAGTTGGTACAGCGGACCTCAGATGATAAATGCGTTTTACTTAAGAGAGCATAACGAAATCAGTACGTATCATGTTCTTTTCTTTTAATTACTAGCCTGTTATTTTCTACATGTGTTTTTCGTAGTTTCGGATATATTTGCTCATTTGGCCGCGGTAAAGCTGCATGCGAAAGACATCTAACATGATCTAACGTCTTGTCGCGGACGCTAGCCGACGGAGAGAGAAAAGCTCTTTGGTTCTCTCGAAATATCTCCAATATTTGAAAGAAAATCCCCTTAAATAGACTTCAACTAATATATACTATATTCAACCYTGACAGATATCATGGCAGGAATACTTCAGCCCCCGTTCTTTTACGGTACAAATGCACCAAGGTAAGTTTAGTAGTACTAAATTATGCGTTCGGTGTGTATATAATGAAGTAGAGAGAACAACACCACAGAGAACCCACGTCTTCGGTATTCTAGTCCAATGTGTTAACCACTACACTACAGAGACCACTACAAGGTAAGTTTAGGGCACTTTAGGCTAGTTTATGGTACGGGATCATTTCTATGGAACTGGTTGACCGAGTAAACTAATAAGAACTGGCACGTACCATTTGAGAACTCRCTGGCCGCTCGGACTGGTCGGTTGGACTTAATGGCAAGCGCGCTTAGTCTATGATAAACAAATTTTTAGTTGACATCATGATCGATGAGTTGCTGGGGCATGACAAACTGATTCTATTTCGATTGGTTGTTTTAGCGTTGTGAATTACGGAGGCATTGGRATGGTTCTTGCACACGAGCTGACGCATGGATTTGATACTGTTGGTAAGTATACCCGGCTTCTAGGGCGTTTCCTGGAACTTTMGGCACTAGCTTGCAGCACTTACACGGTACGATATACCGCAACACTGAGATGACTTGTCATTATTTTCAGTCGAGGGAATCATCTCTAGTCACGACACGTAGTTGCTGTTACGGTACAGCTACAGTACGGTTACAAATTTGCTATATCGTTTTCCACTGATACGAGAACATTTTTCACGTTAATAAATGTTTGTTCCGCATCTTCTCGTTGCACTAAATGTCATTGCTTCTGCATTCGTTGTTGTTGTGAATGTTTTTTGTTTTTGCTTTTTTTCCTGCATTTTTGTTGTTGATGGTKGTTTTGACTTACTTTTTTGTTGTTCAGCTAGTGCTGCTGCTTCTGTTGCTGCTACTCCTTCCATTGTTAAATTCGTCCTTTTTCTACTCTCATRTCTACCACATGTACTAAACAACGTAGTAAAAACTCATTTGGTTTTTGACCCACTCTTTTTTAACAGGTCGTAGATTCAACAATCTCGGCGAACTTACCGATACATCTGGATGGACCGACGCCTCGATGCGTGCATTCCATGAAAAAGCAGATTGTATTAGCAAACAGTACAGCAAGTACCCTCTGAAGGTTAATACTGGAACTTTGTACGTCAATGGAAATCTGACGTTGGACGAGAACATTGCGGACAACGGAGGCTTGCTGATCGCTTATAAGGTCTGAAAATAGCCAATGACCGATCTCCTATCGCTTTTCGCCTATYGCCTATTGCCTTTGGCGATGTTAACGTTTATTGAAATAGTTGTATATAAAATACATTTTGTGGTCTAGTAAGTGTGAAACATGAGGATAGTTTTTGCTCAATTTAATACGTTTTTGGGAATACTTATTAGGCTTACCAAAACTTGARGAAGGAGCACGGACCACAGAAGACGATACCAGGACTTGAGCTGTCCAACGACCAATTGTTCTTTCTTAGCTATGCTCAGGTAATAAGAGCAGTCATTATTTAAGTCGGGGGGGG